TTACATTGACTAGCCCTAATTACATTAATTTCATTTAAAGCAAATGCAAATACCACTTACAAATACTGCGGTTACTTGCTTAGTCATAAAACGTTGAAAACCAGTTGTCATAAGAAATCTGTCATCATTTCAGATGTTCAAATGAAAGCCGATGGAACCAGATGCAATTACTTACATTTACAATGGTGTAATTCACTGTTTTGTTTTAGCTTATGATAAATCAGCATAAAGATCTTCGAACAATAACAAGAGATTATAGTAAGTCTCTAAAGCAGAACTAAAGTAGATTGTCGGTTTGTTGCACAAACATGTACTGCGTACTTTGGAAAGAAAGGGAACGAGTTCTGGGAGAGAGGATGGTGGCTGGAATCTTCCACCTCCTACATTTACTTCAAAGACGTTAAAAGTAGAGGTGTTTTTGACTCTTTGTGTTTGCTTTCTAGTGTTTAAGACAGCAAATCTTTTGAGAAACTGGAGGTCAGGGGTGTAGTATGTTTTATTAAATGTTTTCCACATCATCTGAGTAACGTTGGTGGCTTTATTAACCCATGCGGTGTCCCGACAAGGAAGGCAAGAGGACTGGTTTTGTTTCACTCTTCCTCCCCCTTCCCCTTGCCTGTGTATGATAAGGCAGAGAAAAGTGTATTGAGTTCAGAAGCAAGGTTCAACTCTTTTCTTTTTTGTCTCTTTGCACTGAAGTCAGGTGGAGTTATGTATAATTTCCTCAATTTATTTACAAATTGTATCAGTTACTTTTAGGCAAGGTTAGTAATCAAGCCCAAGCCTGTAAATGGAATGTCTAACCCCTTTGAAAATAGCAATAATCTTTCTCAGATGGAAGGGGTCGTATCAGCTTCTCTGTTGACTTTTTATCTAGGTAACAGACTGCACTCACCTGTGAGTTGCTGAAAGAACCTACAGCTTCAGCTCCAGCTCCACAGCGATATGCTGTTGAGTTGTCAGTCTCTTCAGTGCAGTGTCAAAAATGTGAGTTATGTCCTCTATGGCTGGACCACATCGTAGATTAATGTTTTAGTTGAAAAGGTGGTTGTCTGTATTGGGATGTAGAAGTCCAAGAGAACAGTAAGCATGAAGTATTGTACGCAGTTGCCCAGTAGCATTAATTCAATGAGAGCAAACTAAGATTCCTCTTAAATACAAAACTTTTTCTTGTGTTGCGTGTGATGTGCTTTTATGTACCCAAGTACATGTCCATTCCCAGGCATTTCACATCTAGCAAGTGGTTGAATTTTGCCTTTATGTACTCTAAAGATATAAAACTGACACACCAGTTCGTGTTAGTCTTTGTTTCACATAGCTTAAGCTGTACCACTCCCTTTTGTAAACTAGAAGGCTTCCTGTAGTCCTCAGTTTCCCACAGCATTGCTGCTGGATGGTTTGCAGGGCTTGAAATGGTAGGGAGAGATGAGTCCAGAAGTACTCAGTGTGGTAGTGGTAGCTTAGGAAAGGTGGTGTGTCTGATCCTTTGGCAACCGTGAAAAGCTCCCCTGTGTTGTATTCCCTTGGTCTCCTGCTATGCAGAAAGCTGTGCCTTTGCCTATTCTGTATTGGTGTTTTTTCCTCCAGGAAACTGGAACTGATGGTTAACTGAAATAACTCTCAGGCTTGTGATCTTCTCTCAGAGCAGAGAAGATATATCAGGGTATGGCTGTTTACTTACAAAATGGCAGGAGCTCATCCAAGATTATCTGCTTTAGTGAGAATTTCATGGTCAAGTTTCATGGAGGTTAAAAATGCTAATACTTCCTGGTCCGATACTGCTGAGAGAACTAAACTGTGCTTTCAGGACTGAGACATGAATCCAAAGTATAAAGATAAGAGGGATCCTATATAAAAGGGATAAATCCTGTATTTGTTATTAAAGGCAGTAGTTCTATTTTAAAGTTACAGCCGAACACAAAATTTTGCATCTCTATTAAATATTGTCCCTGCTCAGTAAACCTTTTGAGTATGTGTTGGAATCTGAAGCATGTGCTTAACTTCTTTGCTGAATTGGGGCCTTCGTTACTAAATTGCAGGTATATATATTAGCTGAAGTATTTAAGGGGGAAAAAAAAAAGTAAAACAATGATTATTTTGTTCTGTTCAGTGTAGTTTGTTAAATTAATGGAAAACATCAGAAATGCTGTGCTGTTGCTATGCTGTCCAAAACAGATTTAATACAGTGAATTACTTGAGTGTGTTTCTCTTGAGTCTAAGATAGGGTCCAGTTAAGAATTAACATGGAGTGATGAAATGAAAATTTAAAAAATGATAGTGTGATTTTACTTTTTTGTGCATAATATTATTGTAGAATGAGGCTTTTAAATGTTTTTCTGTTTAAAAGTGTGTTTCAATGATATTTCACAAATTCTTATGTGAATATTAGAGCACTTATTATGTGTGCAATAGCTGGGGCTCTGTAAACATTTCCATAATAAACTTCTCTGTATGCTAAGGCCTAATAACTTGGTCATAAAAACGTGTTTTGGGCATAAAAGTAGTGTACTGGTCTGTGAGAAATCTTGTGCTTTAAAAATAAATAAGATTATTTAAACAGAGAGATTTAGAAGGAAGCTGAAGAAAGTGTGCTGTACCTAACTCATTCCTGATAAATATTTGATCAATATGTTCATTAATAAATAAAAACCACCACTTAACTAGACAAACTAATTCAGTGCTGAGCTAGTCTTTCTAGTATCCTTAAAGTCTGAACTTTTGCTTTAAGTCTATTGCTACATAAAATGTGCGTACACGTAATGTAGGAAGTGTTAGTTCTGTGTTTCAGCTACATCTCACAGGTTTGAGAACTCGCCTGGCTTTAGATTTCTTTTTGCTAAATTTAAGTGGACAAAGGCGTTTGAGTGTTTCTTCACTAAATGTGTTTTCTCAGTCTCTGATAATTTCAGTTCTGTAAACTGAGTAATTAATAAATAAGTCTCTGATAATTTTCTTCTGGAAAGTCTCCCATTAATCTATGCATTTCCTAAAGAATCGTGTCCAAGGGTGGGCACATTGCTCTTAGGCCTTTGAAGAAACCAGGAGGATTATCCTCCTATGTATTCTGGGGTGATTCATTCTTTGATGTAAGTATCCACACAATGGCTACTGTATAGAGGCTATTAAATAGAGTACTATTTAACAATTCCTTAATTGTTTCTTTTGCTGGCTCACTTGGGAAGAAGAAAGTGTCGCAATAAACAGAAGAAAAGATGTTTAGAAAGGAAATTAATATTGATTTTTAGCACACCTGTTAGATATAAATCTATGGAACATTGTCTTGTATCAGTTTTGGTATGCAGACCTGTAAAATATGCGTTTCTGTGAGATAAAATACCTCTAAAAGGCCTGTGGTTTGTTAACAGTGAAATAATTATTTAACTGTGGCTTTGCTTCACTGGCATATTTCTGAAAACCAAGGTGGCTGAGAGGTGATGATTCATACTTTAGTTTCATATGAAAATTTTCAAAATAAAAGATTTATTTTGTTGTCCTGATGCTTTATTCCATCTGGAATTGGAGAAATAAGTTGAAGGACTCTGTATTTTTACTGGCTGTGCCCCTGCCCTGGTGATTTTTCTGTTGAAGAATAACGTCGATGGTGCTTGTGGGATGTTTGTGCTGTGAAGCAGAACCGCTCATGCAGATGCGCTTTCCATGCAAAAAGTAAATCAGCGCTGTGTAAAACACATCAGTGTAATAGGGTTTGTGTTACTGTGGTGCTACCTCTGGCACACTGAAATCCTTTGTTAGCCGTCACAAATGTGGGCCTGCAACATTCTATAAGAATTGTACACTAGAGGGCTTTTTTTCTTTTCTCCACCAGTGTAAAATTAGCTATAGCTACATTGTGCTAAATGAGGCCGCCAGATCTTTGCTCATCTTTGTGGGATGTTTCCTTGTTTAAAATGCTGGACTATGATGAGAAATAGAGAAAAGCGGTGAAATAAGGTACATTCTGGCTTACTATAAATGCTGTGAAGTCTTTACTTTTATTTAGCAGTGTTGTGGAGGAGCTGAGAAGTACTTGCTTCTCTTAGCAATGTGTCTTCTGACCAAGGCAAATCTCACAAGTCTGGATTCAGTAGGCGTTCACTTGCACATTGGTTAGCTTTGAGATTCTTTAGAAGAAGTTAATTTGATACTGTTTTTTTGACCTTTACATAATATAATTTGCAGGTAACCAGAACGTTTGGGGTATGGTCTGGAGTAACATTATATACATATACTAGAAAGCTTTGCTGTTTACTAGATTATGGTTTCAAGTCAGTTGGGTTTCATGTAATAATGTCTGTGGCATTTTACAGTGAAGTTCAAAATTAATATCGTGTATTGTGAAAAACACAGATTTTTTTAGTAGGTGTCAATTTTCATATTTTCATTCAGGGTTTGACCTTGAGTGGATACATAGGTACGAGGATAGATTTTCTGCAGTTTTCTTTTTGTCCTTGATGGATATAAACTCAAATCACTTGATGGTGTTTCCCATAGCAAGGTGTGTGAAGTCAGATGAGGGCCATAGCCCCTTGAAAATAAGAGTAAGAGAAAAATAGAGTTGAAAAACACCCAAATAGTGTGAGCAATATTTGCAAATTCATTTTTAGCTATTGTAAATTAAGGCTTAATTTCCAGGTGAAGTGAGTGTGAAGTGAATCTGAAAAAAATAAAATGTGAGAGTCGCAATTTCTTGAATGTCTCTTTCTCTTACATTTTAGCTGTATTATCAAGAAATAGAAAGGAATTTGCTTCTAGCTGTGAAATAGTTGAATGAAATCTGAAAAAAAATTACACACGTAAACATATTTTTTCTACTTTCCTACTTGTTTTTCATTAATTGTCTAGTACTCTAACAATGCTGAAGATTTCAGACATATTCTGCAGGTGACAGCTAACCTATTTGTATTTATCAGACGTAAAATGTTGCCATTGTGTTATCTAGTGCTGTTCCACAAACACTGGAATGATAACCAAGTAACTTTTATTTTTCTGTTGTCTTAAAGGGACATCAGAGATGGCTTCAGAAGAAAAAGCTTCTATCCTTCTCATATGAGAGAGCGATCCCCTCATAAGAGGGACTCTCCTTTCTTCAGGGAATCGCCAGGGAGCCGAAGGGATTCTCCGCACAGCAGATCTGGCTCTAGTGTCAGCAGCAGAAGCTACTCTCCTGAAAGAAGCAAAGCCTATCCTTTCCACCAGTCCCAGCATAGCAGAAGTATGTCATCTTTACATAAAAGAAATATTTCTTCTCAGCAAGGTAATGCTGGATTAATGATGAGAACTGGTTGGTGAGGTGAAACTGCAACTCGCTGTATAAGCCCTTTTTCTTTACATGCTGTCTTTTACAATGAGAAAACTAGACATTTTGTACCAATTACGTGTTGTCTGCTCTCTGGTTGTTTCATTGTACTCTCTGTTCCCTTCTGTATTTCACGTGGGAGATTGTAGGTGTTATTTCAGCAGCAGCTCCAGACTGACTGTAAGGAGTTTCAGCTGCACAGCTTTTTCTTTTTTTCCTTCTAGCATCAACTGCTTCTGTTACTTCTTTATGTGCTTATTGGATTCCCTTACAAGAAACTTTGCTGTCATCTATAGCAGATAAGACTCTTCTTCCTGCAACCAGGGGAAAAGAGGGATTAAAAAAATAGGAGAAATTAAAGTACATACTGCTACTTGTTATATTTTCTGAAAATGTTCTTAGAACTGTATTATTAGTGTTTTGAAGCTGGTTGTTTTTTAACAATTTGATCTCATCATCAGATTCTCTCAAATCTTGCTTTCCTCAAAGAAATGTGAAACATATCTCAGTTCTAAGTCTATACAGTCTATATTCTGCCTTTTAAAAGCTTGGCTGCTAATCTTTCCAAGAAATCTAATCAATCATCTTTTTTGAAAATATTTAAGGTTTTCCTATTTAAATAATTTGAAAAAAAAAGGCAAAATTGCTTTTTTTAGTATACTACAATCTTAGCCACTGCTGTTTGTAATGTAAATTAATCCAATTTGATTGCCCTTTCTGCAAATGCTTTCTAGTGAACTATACAAACCTACTTCATTTTGGCAGTTTTTAAAAAATGAATTAGGTATTTTTTTCTTCACTGATAGGCATATTGTGTGTTTCCAGAGTGGTACACTGGGCCATTATTTAGCACTTATTGCAAAAAAAGATCTTGAGGAGTTTAGTTTACATTGTTTAAATATTCAGGAATCGTTTTACTCCTCATAGAATACAAACGATCTTTCTAGCTCATCACTGCAGTTCTGTTAACATTTTGTAGCAATGCTCTGTGAACATGAATTCCTCTAAGTGTAGGGGAGGAAGAGAAAAATATGATATTCAACTAAATTTGTAGAAGTGGTGTAGATGTGCAGATCATAATTACCAGGAACAGGAAAAAAATCATTGAGAGAAACTAAATAAAATCTTGAAACATTTCAGTGTTTTCCTAAAATTTTGAGCCAACTTCTATCGCGTTTGTAGTATATTGGCAGAATTACTTAAACAGTAGTGGAGGTAGCGAAGTACAAGCTGACATCTTCACAAACCAGAAAAGATGCTGGTCAAGAGAGGAGGTTACGTTTAGGTCTGTGGCTTTTGGGATTTTTTTTTTCCAATTGTATGGTTAAACACCTCTCCCCATCATATTTAAATCAGTTTTGAGAGACCAGATGGCTTCTGCACTGGGCTGTTTCTTTATAACTGCCTGTTCCCTGGAAAATAGTACTACTAAACTGTTCCTCTAGATGACTGAATTAAAATGGCCTATTTGCAAGGTACAAATGCTTAAATAATACTTTTAGAATCATGTTTGAATATGATTTGTCTTAGGTAAGCTGATGTATTACATATTTAAAAGGAACATAAAGTGGGACATGTCTCATATGTCAGCACTACATTTTAGTCTGTACTGAAATGGATTTACAACGTCCAAAGTATATACTATTTCTTGTGGAACGTGTAATATGGCATCTTTTTAAATATCACAATACTGTTTAAAATCATGCTGTCTGAATCAGTTTGGCCTCATGACTTCCTCTGAAGGAGGAATATCCCATGCTTTCCAGCCCTTCATAAACTAGGATAAATACAGTATTTGAACTAAGAAAACTGGGGGGGGACACATAAAGAAGCTTGGTAGAGGGAGGGAAGGGGCTGATGGGAAGGGACAGGCATTCAGCCATGGTGGAGGAGCATGGAGAGCAGCAGGGTGGTATTCCTTCCCTGGGCCAGTCGGTAAGGGGCCTGTAGGGTGGTATGCAGAGGAGATGCGAGAAGGCAAGTAGTGGTGCTTGGGAAGCTTCATGTTCAGTTCAACAGATAGGGCTTGTGGGTTCAAAATAGGCACATGCATTCCGAAAAACTGGTCTAATAATGTCTCCAAATTAAATGGTGGTTTCTTCCTCTGCTTAACTTTTGAATAATTTACTGCCACTTCATCTTATTTCATCTGTTCAAGCGCAAACATATAATCCACTCAACTGAGATAATCTTTAAAGAATCCAGTGTGATGTAGGAGGCAGAGTTAGAACAGTCTGTAAATTTAAAAGGAGGCGGCTCATCCATGGGGCTGAAAAGCAGGTGTCACAGGAGCAAAACTTCTGTGTTACTTGGTGGTGTCAAGGGAGACATTCTGCGCTTTGGGGAGCATGACAGATTAAAGACACAATTATTTCTGTCTTCATGTATTCGGTTTTGTCATATACTGTGTATTTATAGAAATTTTTAATTTTTCAGTTTTTCTTTTCACTGTTAAAGAGCTTTTTTAGTTAACGGTAATTCATAATTCATCTTTTGTTTTATGGCTGCTAGAAACTCTCAAATAAGGTTGCTTGCTATTTTTAAATATGCTCGCCATTTAGCTTTATCTTCAAATTGAGGGTTAAAGTGTAGTTTGGAATGTTTGCTTTTGCCAGAGTAACTTCCCCAACTGTTTTCAATATCATTTTTGAAATGCCCATCAGTAGCTGTGAGGATTTTTGCATGGATTAGTAGGCTTTCAACATCATAGCAGTAACTGAGTTGCCTCTAACAACGTGTGGAGATGAGCGGTTGTTTGATCTTTGCTTTTGTGCTAAGTTTATACAGAGTAGAAGACCAACTTTTCAAATACCTTTCAAACATTTCCTGTTGTTAAAAGTATGCATTTTGCATAGACTTTTCCTTACATTTTTTGTGTAGGTAGTGCTATTTTAGAATCTACAACACAATGCAGTCTTATTTTATGGCATTGAGTGAAAAAAGAAAATAGGTCAACTATTAGGAGATGCCATGTTTGCTGTTTATTGCTTCGACTCATTAAATTAAAGCCATTTTTCTCTAGTTCTACTAAAGTAATTTATAACCCAATTTTCGTAAGTATTTGTTAGACTTTCTTAATTTTATTGTTACAAATGTAATGGAAGCCAAGGTAAGTTTTCCATTTGTGAAGTCAGCCAATTCCCAGTGCGTGTGAAGTCTAGTTAATTTAGGCTACTGACAACGAATTTGCTCTTCATATTTACCTGTTGCAGGTAAATGTAATCCATGGACCACGGGGTTGAAAGCTAGTAGTTAACATTGCAACCAGTTCTGCTGCTGTGGGCTGCCTGTTACCGACCTGTGGCAAGGCTATGCACAGACCACTGTGAATCTTAATTGTCATTTTGCTGATTTTAACTCTTACAAGAAAAACACTGATAAATACAAAGAGCATCTAGCCTGTGGTTGATGCAATACAGGACTATTTCTCATGGCAGGGCTTTTCAACATGCTGTGGCCTGCTAAACCAGTTACTTCACTGCTTGGTTTCCTGGAGTGATTGATTGGTGTCTAATATTTCACCTGTTTATATTATTACAGGAATACTGAAAAGTAAACCCACATCATCTTGCCAAGTCATTGGTATGCCCTTTCAGTTAATGTTGAAAAATAGGACAATGGGTTTTCCTAAATATGTGAAATAACATAGCTATATCTCTTCTCCCTTTGTAAAGAGAAGGAAGTGTTATCAATATCTGTTAGATGTTGCAGCATGTAGATTTCATGTCTGACTTGAGCAAATTTCACTGCAATTTTTCTAAGCCGATAAGTATATTTGCCACATGTATCTTTAATATAATTTTACAGTCATTAATTTTTTCTTAATTGTAGGTAAAGAGAGGACGTCAGTTCAGTCACTGAAAACATCAAGAGATGCATCACCCTCAGGCTCCACAGCAGTACTGTCATCAAAGGTGAATTTTCTTTTCGAGTACTTATCACTATGGTTTCAGATTGCTCATTGTTCTTGGATTTTTTCTTCAGTTGGAAGAAGATACTGCATGCAGCTGTTAAGGAAAGGAGCATCTTGAATTGCTCAGCAGTCCAGCAGAGGATAGGTTTCCCTTATCTGACAGGAAGGTGCTGATAATGTTGTGTATCTAATGATGACACCAACAAACCTTTTTATTCAGTATTCACTGTCTCATTTTAGGAGAAAGGGAGTTTTGTATGTATTCAAAATTGCCATTTTCTGAAGGCTGGAGTGTGCTAGAAAAGGAATGGCATGGAGAAAAATGGAGAAGCAGTTTTTAGGAGCAACAGATCAATTGAACAAGTCTGTACTTGCACTGAACTCCATCCTTCAGTGATTCCTAAACTGTGACTGGGTTTGGAAACAGAGTGGTGAAGTGTCTGGCTGACTGGGAAGATAATGTGAGTGGCAGAGTTGACTTAGAAGCAGGGCTGCGTGAGGATGGGGCAAGAGTGATAGCACTTACTTGGGAAGGGAGCCACATTGCAAGATTGTTAAATGTCATTTTATATTCTACATGATGCTGTTTAATTTCCCATCAAATTTTGTGGGCTGAACACCAGCTACATAATCTTGCTAATTAGTTAAACAGGCTAATAAACACTAACGAACAATCAGCACTCAATATTGTTCTGGCTGTCCTGTGACAGCAAAAACATTTTCACATCAGACTGCTTGCCTGTAAATTATACTTGAGGTTAAAATGAACACTTCCACGGGAGTATTTTCTTTTAAAAGGTTGAGAAATACTTTAACGAGGAATAAAGAAACAATGCATTATATTGTTTTAAGTGAATAAGATCTTATTAAAAAGTGGCATTCACCTTAAGTAGCATGGTGTACTAGCCTGATTCTTGAGGTCTTTTTAATGAAAGCAGTGGAATGCTTAAACAAAACAAAAAAAAAAGGAAAGAAAGAAAGAAAGGAAGGAAGAAAGAAAGGTACTTTTTGTTGTGAGAAGGTGAGACTGAAGGAAATAATTAGGTGGGGAAAAAAATCAGGCTTTGGTTGTACTATGTCGTTCTAAGTACTTAGCCCTTATGCAGCTCTTTTAGAACTGCTGTGCTAGGCATTAGCTAATTGCCAATGTCCTTAAGGGGGGAGGCAAGCAATATATTTTCAGTGATGTAAATAGGGGAAGTAAGATAAAAGCTGTTATGCACAAGTTACACTGATTCGGATTATAAAATAAAGTTTATAATTAGGTTTTTTGCTTACAGACTCAGCATACTACAGCTTAATACCAAATCCTTGCTTAATACAAACCTTTGAGAACAAGGAGGCATTGCAAAATCTCGTGCTCTTGTATTAATATGCAATGTGAGCTTGAACTATAAAGTATTCCTTAAATGCTCTGCTTTCTTCTTCAGTCAGGTCTGATCTGTGCTGTATTGGGTTTTTTTTTGCCAGCAGTTGGCATGTATCTGCTGGCAGTGGATGTCCACTTGATGTAAGCTATGCAAAATGAAACTTTGTGTTTGATGGAAGTCATTTCCCCAGACAACACAAATGTTTATTGGGTATGCGTCAGCTGCAGGAATGGAAGTACTTCAGTGACCTTTTATTGCTTTTCTCTTCAAGTCCCAAAATCTGCTTGTAATGTACTGTCCTGTGTCAGTGGAGGTGATGTCTGGATTACGCTGACCAATTAAGTTGTGTAAGTGCTTCACTGACATAGAAATATCGACAGAAAAAGTCTTGGTAAAACATGAGGAACATCTCTAGGGTCAGGGTCTTACAATCTACTTAGACTTGAGAAATTAGTTATAGACTTTATTTGATAGATTAAAGGAGATAATTTTCAATGGTTTAAGTTATAATTTAGCTTTGAAATACTTAGAGAGGTATATGCTTCTGCAGCAATATCTCTTTTCACTGTAGTAACTATATGCAAATCTGAAAAGGTATTCTTATCTGTCTTATAATTAATTTTTTACATATTCATGCATGTGAATTTATACATGGTGTTATCTGATCTTAACCACCTGTTTAATTGACTATGGCATTAAGTCTTTTGTGTTTTTCTTTTAATAGCTGTCTGGACTGCAAGCCTTGGAGGCTGTATCCAACATAATTAGAGCAAAAGGCAGATGTGTTAGACAGGGAAAGCTTCCCAGCAAAGATAGCAGAAAAGTGACGGGGTTTTGCTGTTCTTAAGTTATGCATTAATGTAAAAAAAAGAATAGAGGACACCTCTGTTTTGAGGTGGGGGGAAGAAGTTGGTTGATTTTTACAAGATGTACTAGATTGTTTATTTCTTGCAAGTTTGCAGCCTAAGTAGCTGCAGACATTTCCCTCTGAGAAATATGTCCCTGTTCTTTCTCTTCAATTTCAGTGTAACTGTGGAAATACCATTATTTATTACAGAAAATATCACTCAGGATTTTTTAGTATGTATTTATTGACATGTGACCTATAGAATTAAATTTAGTGAGATTAAATTAACAGATTTTTTGCTGTATTCCAGCAGATACTGAGTAGTTAACTTCTGTTTATGGCTTGTGGAAATATTGTAGGTCATGTGAGATTTTATTTATCTTTATTTCATGCAAAGCTGACTGTTGGTGACAAAGATACCGGACTTTTCTTTTTGTTAGCATTGGCCAGACCTACATTTGAGGAGTGGGAGAGATTCATAACAGAACCATAGTACAAGATTTTGGCAGCTAGGGAGAAGTCAGGTTAAAAGTAAAAGTCAGGCATACTACGGGGGATAAGAACATTGTAGCAAAAAAACTTGGCAGCAGATAGTTTGTAGTGAGACTTGTGTAAGAACAATTGTGTAGTTTGGAAAGGTGAGCTGGGCTAATTGTTCTATGAATTACATTACCCCTTTCTTTTAGGAACCCTCTTTGTACCCCTGCATATTGAACTTTGTCACCTCCTGACTTCGCTGGTTGTAATTCTGTAATTTACAATTAATAGAAAAGAGGGATTCCTATTTGAACATTGTGTTGCACTTCTCTTCTGGATTCAGACAAAGGTGGTGTCTTTATGACACAGAATCCTGGAAGGGTTCTGTGAATTGTGTGCTTATGCCGTACTACAGCACAAAGAGATGTTTGGATAATATTTTACTTGAGGTAAGCAGAAAAGGTCTGAAGATGAAGCAGTCTTATAGGTTGCACTATTTGCTTCCACTGGCCGTTTATGTCATTTAGAATGAATTAATGATAAGAGGGGCGACTGTTATGGTTTTTTCATTTGGTTTTTTTTTTGTTTGCTTTTTTTGCCCGTCTCTTTGCTAAGATAGAACAGGCATTGGGTAGAAATTGTGGCAACCTTTGTCAGGCAGTAGGATTTTTGTATCTTTTTTGGATATCCATCTTAGTGTTGCAGTTTTTAACAGTAGAGTTGTGTAGATTCTTGGATGGGTGCTTCTATACATACAGTTGATTCAAATGAAATACCCACGTAGTGGTAACGATTTATAAAGCTAGCTATTCCTAAACTTGTTTTGGTACGTGGGTATTTGTCATTGTCTGTTTGTTGCTCTGTTGGTAAAAGTCAAATTATATTCTTAGAAGTTTTCAAGTTTTCAAACATTATTTATATGAGTATTTCCATCTGAAGAGGTAGATTAAAAGGCCGTAAAGCTGTGACTGACTTTACTATAAATGATCAACATTCCCCCCAAATAAAAAATAATGAATTTTAATGGCAGCAGCTCTGATCATTTAAAGTATGTATAAAATACTTTTTGTCCCTAATTAGCTTAGGTTTTAAGCTACACCATATTTAATAGTTAAGTTTAAATTATTTACAACCTTTTATGCCTGAAAATCACATTGAGTTATTACATCACTCCACACTTGTATCTGACTTCTCAGTGCCCATTTGATCCATGTCTCTTTAAACTCAACTGATTTCAGATTTTTTCTGTTATCTCTGTCCTGTGAATTCAGTAAAAATGATTCTGAAAGTATGGTGCTTTTTTAACGTTTTACTGAACTTCGTTGATTTATCTTTTCTTCTGTCTTTTTTTCTTTTTTCTCTGCTGTCTCTCCACCCACTTTTCTTTTTAAAGAAATCAGTCAGCAAATGAAATAGCTTTATCTTCCTTATTTCCTATTTTGAAATGTTTTGGGGATCTGAGTAACTGTTTATTTTAGTTTTGAAGATGTTTTGCCATATGTAAATACATTTCATGTTAAACCTTGACTATAATGTTTTCGTACAGGCCTTGGATAAGAGCAACAGACTATCGGAAAAGGAACTTGCAGAAGCTGCAAGCAAGTGGGCAGCTGAAAAGTCAGAGAAGGCTGATGAAAACAGTTTACCTGAAATAACAGAGTATGATGTAAGACAGGATTATTAATCAATTTATTTTCAAGTGTTACAACAATAGACTCTTGGTTTTTTGTACTCTCCTGAAAGGCACATTTTGTAACTTAACTCTGAATTTGTCTGCCTATGCTATTAAGTGTTTGTTGAAAGGGAGTGAGAGGGAGACAAAAGTCTTGTGAATGATTTATTTATTTACTTATTTAAAAAAAAACCAACCAAAACCAAACAAAACTCCACAAAACCAGAGTAGGTTTTGTTAGTATAACTTGAATTCATATTGAGCTACAACTGACAAAATAAGGCTCCAGCTCTCCCAGGGAATCTCCAAGGAACTCTTGCACTAGTGTAAGTCCATAGGCCTACTGAACTCCTTAAAATTAGTAAGGGACTTCTGAGTCAAAACAGGAGTGTCCATGTAAAACATAAGCCTGGAAGAGAAACTGTGGTTTGTTGAGTTCAGTTCCATGCCATGTCAGCCTGCCACGTCATGTATTCTTTTTCAGAAAGCAATCCCCCTCTGTATTAGAAATTAAACTTTTGCCTTGGTACTGCAGTGGGTAGATATTTTTTTTTTGCCCCGAACCTGTATTTCATGAATAATCAACATTAATTACCAGTTTATACCCATCTTTTCTTGCCCCTTCTTACTATGTTGAAGTGTGATTTTAGCCCTTTTCAATCTTTGTTACGCTGCTTTTGGATGAGATATCTTTTTTGGATTCTACTATGTTAGTGGAAGATGTATTTGTTGTTTAAAAACCCCCAAACGTCATGTAATGTCTCTGCTTTAATTCTGTGATCATTTCATCTTCAACTTTCACTTTGCTTCAACTTCAGAGGCACTTTTACAAAAAGAAAATAGTCTTACACTTTATAATTAATGGGTTTGTATTTTATATTTGTTTGTAAATAATTTGAGGGAAACTAAAAGCATCCTGGGAAGCATCAGATTGCCTCCTTGTATTTCACACTTGTGGAACCTATGGTCTAGATTAAAGAAATAAACTCACTGCATCCATATTCGTCTGAACTTTTAAGTTCTGTCCGTTGATGTAATAGCCAAGTGCATCAACAGCTACTTGATACTGGCCAGGAAGATCCACTTGAATAAATAAACTGCTCATTTCCCTCCAGAAAAAAAGAAAATAAAAATAAAAAAAAATGGGGGAGGGTTGGAGTGAGGAAAAAAAAGCATCAAACTGATCCAAGCATGAATGCCATACGGAGGAGAACATATGCACGGACATTTCTGAGAGGTTCAGGAGAGTAACAGTGAAGAGAAATGTCATTCCTGTTCTTGATGAGGCGAAGGTAGTGCAAGGGAGGAAAGAACAGAGTAGGCCTTATGGAGAAGAGTTGTTTAAAGCTTCCTCTGTGCCTCAGAGAAGACTGCAGTGGCAAAAAGATTCAAACCAAAGGAAGATTCAAAATGAAACAGTTGCAGTTAATTATGGCAGAGTCTGAGATGATTTATTGACTAAGAAAGTGCTACAGGAATGCTAATGAAGGAGGTGAGGCATCTCATTCTGAGCCCTAGAAGAAAGGGTGCTTCTCACTTGATTTGTGGGCTGTCATGTACAAATTGCAAGTTTTAACTTTTTCCAGTTTATCTTACATAGTGCTTAATAGTTGAACTTTGTGTTGCACTGAACTTTCTAGCAGCCTTTACGCACTCTCAGGCATTTCATGATTTACTGCAGTAACAAGATTTGGGATGCAATCTTAATGGTTTGTATTGCTGCTAAGTTTTGAGCAGATGCTCTTAGGACCACTTAAGCCTTTTTTTTATGTCTAATGCTGTTCTCTTTCACGTTCATTAAGTCTTAAGACGCTCCACCTCTGTTTCTGAAGAGTAGAAAATATTTTTATGCATCTTCCTCAATTCTCAAATCTTATTTTTTAAAAAACAGTATTTTATTACTCTACAAAACTGTTCCATAATATTGGATTTAAATATGCTGTAGTAATTTTTTCTCCTTTTTTACATCTTCTATATAGACTCCTTGAAGTGGGATTCTGTTTTCTTTGGGACAGGGATACCGTTAAATTTCTCTTTTAGAGGGAAGCTTATACAATTTTGATAATTCAGTAAGATTTCTTGTGCTATCAGGAATCCTCTAAGCGCATGCTTGCTTTTGCTATACAATAGGTATCTCTGTTCCTTTCATATTCAACCTGTGGTTCTGAATGCTGTAGGAGTTCTTTCTGACAGCATTTTGATTTCATTGATGCCTATTTACCTTTGGTTTTGTTACTTTTATCCTTTCCCAGAAAACTAATCCCATTTTCATTGTGGATTTTTCTTGCTAGCTGGTGTTATAAATATCACATATATAAGTTTCTTCACAGCGGAAGGGCAGGTGAAGGTTATCTGGCATCATTGTTACTCAGTTAAGACTGAGTCACGGGTTTTTTATGATGTCGTGTTTTCTACATGTTTAAAATCGATGTTTCTGTATCTGTTAGATTGTAGCACTAATAGTTCACTAATAGTCTTGATAAGCAAACTTGTATCTAACTGAATTACTGTATTTGGGTTTGTATTTTGCTCTCAAAACTGAATATTTTTGTTTTCAAAGGCTGGATCTTCAGCTCCATTATATGTTGAACAAACAGAGGAAACAGAAACAAATATGATGGATAGTACAGAATTATATGAGGATGGCCAGCTTCTTGGTCGCTCAAAAGCAATTGCAACTAAGACAAAGGAGATTGAACAGGTGAGTCCTCTTGGCATTTTGTCATGGATACAGTACCTGTGTAATGCTTTGATCTGCTAGAAATACGTTGATTTATTCTTTCCTCCCTCTTGGAGCGTAATCTGATTTCTTGAGATAATGTGATGATAACATCTCCATCTATTTAACACTGAAGCGGCATTTATCTGCACGTGGGAAGTAGTGGTAGTTTCCTGTAACTTACATGCAACACCTGCTATTTTGCAAGCCAAGAAAGTGACTGCTCCTTTGAATAATTGTTTTAAAATCAAATATAATACAAATAATTTCAAATGTAATTAAAAAGTAAGGCTTTATGTGACATCAAATTATCAAAAATTACTTTTACACTGTGATTCCCTTAACTTACATATAGACAGTTTGGGATTGCATTCTAGAAGCTGCCTATTGTTTTTTTTTCTTGTGGTGGGTTTTTTTGGGGCTGTGTGTGTTTTGTTGGGTTTTTGTGTTTGCTGTTTTTTAAAATCAGCTTTGAATCTCAGTGCCTTTGTCATTCTTTGAAGATTAAGAACATTTAGGTTTTGCTTTGACTACAGTGTTTTATATTGAGATAAGGGATGGCTATTGTGTTCAAAATTTGTATCCTTTTCTTTTGTATTGAGTACTTGGGGACCGATTTAATACAAACCAAGATTTCTATTACTTTTGTAACATTGAGTTTTTGAGGAGATTCAATGGAAGTTTGTTCATGTATTAGTCTTTAATATCACGTCATCTCGCCTCACAGTAAGGAAATTATTTACACTAACCTTGAATTTAATTTGTGATAAACAATCAAAATGTTTTGTTGCCATGTTTTTGGTACTTAAAGTGGAGAGTTTGGAGATTTTTCTGACTTGATCTTTCTGAAGTAAATACAACTATGCACAACTCTGGGAATTGCATTTGAAGGTTATAATTTGGGTGGGAGAAAGATATTACTTTCTTCAAACTTGCTCTGATTTACAGTGTTTTCAGTGTATACCTGGGATGGGTGGAAGGGAAATATAGATCACTTTTCCCCTTTATGATTACCTCATAATAACATCTTCAAGAAAATAGGTCTCTGATCTTGTTCAAGGTAGCCTTATTCTAGGTCTTTGTTTGCCATCTTAATGTCTAGTGGCCTTTGTTCTGTCGCCTGTGAGACTTTCTTCTTGACACTTGAAAACCAACGTCCTACTCAATTGTTTTTTTTTTGTTTTTTTTTGTTTTTAATTTGGACTTTGCATAATCATGTTCCTGGTGAGCATGGCTTTGCATGAGTGCTGGGTCTGGCTGGGATGGAGTTAACCAGAGCATGCTGTAACTGTGAGGGTCATAATGCAATTGGTATATCCTTGAGTGGTCTTTGGGTTATACATGACCTAAATCAGCTACTAACAAGTGCATAAACTTAGGACTATTTAAAAATGACAAACTGAAAAAAAAAACCAACCTAGGAGCAGATTTTTAAAAAATAGCAATTGTGATGATTTAGCCTGATGCTGGTGAATCCATGATTGGTTTATTTTCTCTAGGTCCTAAGGACAGGCTTATAGCGAAAACAGATGAAAATTTGGGCATAAAAACCAAATGTTGTTTTCGATGTGATCTAATGTTATTATGTTTGGTAGCGTTTGCACTTATCTCTAAGGAAATCTAGACTATATTCTCTAGAACAGAATACTTTTCGCTCAGAAAAGCCTGAGGAACAGCTTAAAAAGATTTGGATTTCATAGAACCAGTTTCTCCTGTTGTTGATTTGAATATTGAACCTGTCAGCTTCTGCAGAATTAAAATAAGATTTTAGAATGATACTGGAAGCATCTTCAATACGTTTTATTCAACTGAACAAGATTTGTATTTTTTTATAAAACCAGGTACTGTGAATTTGTTGAGAACTAGAGAAGATGTGTATTTAATCATTTAAACGTAAGACTGTAAAATGACCTGTATGTTTTTCAGATAAATGTTTAAAGTAACTTCTGTTTCAACAACTAAAAAAAAAAATCCGGAAAATTTATCATTATGGTAGTCCTGCTGATTTTCATAATTGTGAAATACTGTGAATCTTCCTACTGTATATGGAAGCAGTCTCGCTGTAGAAATTTATACGCTGTTCCATTGACTTCAAGTTGTCAGCATCTAAAAGTAAATTTGGGTTAATTCTGTGTGGCTTGAGTTCTCTGACAAGGAATGGGAGAGGGAGCAAAGAACAGAATGGAAACTAAATTTGCGGTCCTGTGGTGAACTGCTTTACTAAAGGTTCTTTGGATGAACTTCTCAATATGATTTATACTGGTTTTACCACTGTTTAATTGAAAGTATGTTTCTGGTTTTTGCACAGTAAAATTAGTCTTTAATATGCAAATTTAACACTATCCCTACTCATGCTGTGTTTTCATATAAGTGTAACATTTAAATCTTATAAGTGAACTGTAGGCTATAATACACTTCAGGAATAGAACGACTGACTTGATAATAAAATATAGAATACAATTATAAGAAGGCTTTGTCATAATTTGTTTCTGATGAAGACTCAAATAACAGCAGAAAAATTTTTTGTTCTGTGGACTTTTTTCCAGTTACATTTCATTGAGGTGTTTAAAATAGCTTCTGAATGCCTAGTTTTAATGTATTATTTCTGCAATGTAATTTTGTGGAAGGATTACTAAAAAAAAAAAAAAAGCAGCTTATTACAAAGAGTTATGCTGCAAAAATGGTGAAGCTTTAATCCTTCTGCAGAGCAAGATTCCCATCAGATTGATTTTTAGTCTTCACTGAACAGCTATTAAAGTGTTTAAAATAAATAAATAAATGAATAAAATCAGACAGGGTTGAAATAACTTCTTGTGTCACTGGGTATGTGTCTAAGAATTGGTGAGGGTCCAGCTAGTATTTGAGAAAGTGAGTCTTGATTATAGAAGGCTTGACCCATCAAACCTCTTCTGCTTCTGTCTCCCAAGTTTTCCTGCTTTCTCTTGGAGCACCAGATCTAGTGTTGTTTCCTTTTCAGTTCATATTTGTTCTCATCCTGATTCCCAGGTATTCTTGCTGTTCCAGACTGCTGATAAAGCCCTCTTTGCTTTGTCCTCTCCATATCTGTCTGTCTCCAAAGCTCCAACTAGGAAAAAAGCAAAATTTTCTAAATACGTACTTTTACTTCGTAGTATGGTACTATTTCAGGTAAACCCAGAGGCAAAAAGCTGTGCTGACAGGACATGTGCAGTGTCGCAATGAGCAAATTCATTGCTGTACAGCAGAGAAACAGTCAGCCTGATGCCCTGGGCAGGGGGATGTAGCTGGCAGTTACATCTCTTAAGAAAAAAACAACAAAAAGATCCCTTAAGCAATTGAATGAAATATTCATACAGGTGTTCCGTTTAAGTAAGTCCATCTCTGTATCTTACGTATCACTCATGTTGCTCTTTTGTAAAGTTCCCTCTGCCTTTCCTCTAAGTTACAATAACACAATCACCAATTTCAAAATTTTAAATGGAATGTGATTGTAAGTGGTCACTTTGGCTCATCAACGAAGTAACTGTGTATTATTTGTTTGATGGGGGACTTACTGCAAGCATTCATGTAAAATCATGTAATTTGAAGAACAGTAAAGTGCTGACAGGACAAAAATAGTCAAATGAGTGCTAGTTGCTGTTTGCTATTTAGTGACTGTCTTTTAAGAGCCTGCAGTTGCTTTGCAAGTATTAACTGAAGCTGACATAAAGAGAGGAGAATAGAAGTTGGGCTCATGGATAAAGACTTGAAAAAATCTGGACGCTGTTTGAACAGAACCAAGAATTATCTGTGTGACTCCCAAAGCAGAAAAATTCCAAAGCATATGTTTAATTTGAAGTCTGCCAGTATTACTTGGGAAGGAAGATTATGGTCGAAGATGCACAGGCACTTGAGAACATTGCTGAACTGGGACCACAGATCCTGGAAGTCTCTGGTCTCATCTTTGAAATGACAGGCATAATGACAGTATCATGGAAACAAAAATAGTAAGATAATCAGTTTTCTGGCTTGCCTTTTTTTTAGTTGAAGCTAGGTATTTCCTTATGCCTTGGAACATGCCTTTCCCTCTTTCCTCCACAACTATAATTTTGAAATTTGGTGTTATGTGTTGTCTGAGCAGGATGGGGTAGAAGCCCGTTAACCAGGTGTTTAAAAGATTGGGCTGGGTGCTTGAAAATAGTGTAGCAGCTAATTTTGTATTGGCATGTCAGGGTCAATGAATGTCCGTAGGTTGCTGATGTAACAATTCCATGTAATTTTTTACATTTTTGCATTTAATAAGATGCAGTATACATTAAAGTATTGTTTTGGAGTTGTTTAGTTTGTGTTTTTATATGGTGAAGGATCAGCTATGCTTTTAGCACGTAATGTGCTGAAGCGTGAGTTTTTTGGGAAGTGATGACAAATACGTCCCTGGTGTTAAATTCACAATTGGAGCGATTCAGCGTTGGTGTTACACAAAAGGCTATCTCTTTGTTGTTCCTTTATGAGCATGAGTAGCAGGGATTCTTGAAATGTCTTATCTTGTCTAGACATCAAGTCTGCAACACTGTGTTAATTAGTCCATTATTATGTGTCCAGTTTCTTAAATGTTTCATATGCAATTTGAAGTGACATGGGTTACCTCTGAAAATCGTATTATTTTCTGAAGACAAATTTTGCCAAATGAGCCAAGTACCTTCCTTGATTTTGGCATAGAATCAAACCTCTGAGTTTCTGAATGAGATTTGACACTCAGACCTCAATTTGTCTATTACCATAGAGCTCTGGCATCTTAAGAAGGAAGCGTAGGAATTAATACATTCATGAATGCTTTTTTACTTAATGGAGTTACTGGCTGACTGGATGCTTTCAGTTCAACAATATTTTTAAATCTTCAGCAGAATAATATTTTTAAATGTCCAAACGTCTGGAATAATTGCTTGTTTGCTTGTCTTTCTACGTTAATATTACTTGTTAACAACCCTCAGTAGCATTAATGAACTGTTACTCTAATTGGACAG